GCATTTTGCAATTTTTAAGTTTCTTCTACCTAGATAACTTACTTGCTTATTTTAGTATAGTCTGCAAATGATATGAAGGTGTGGCTAGTGTTTTTATCAATGTTCACCATGAAGAGAAACCGTAAAAGTGGCAGAACTCGACCTTGCATAATGAGCATTTTATTCTGCTAATTTCTAGATTTTGTTTCGTTTACTAGTTCTCTTGTGATCTATTTTTCAGAAAATTTGATATCCGTTTGCTTATTCTTCTTGTTATGTCTGTACCTCATTTTATGTGCTATCACTCCATGATCATATTTGTCAAATGTCTGCATGAAAACTGTGTTGATCATGTCTCTGTAGTTTTGTCCTATTGGTTTAGAAGTCATGACAACCATGATCTTCCCCCTCCTAAATCCGTGTTGGTTCAGGTTGTGCAGGTCATACCTTGCCATAAAGTCTGTGATTTGGCATCTCATCACCCTTTCAGAAACTTTTATTATGATGTTTTGCCCACACATTATACTTTATCAAACTACAAACAGATGCAATTTGATAAAGACCACTATGTGAGCAAAATATCTCCAGTGAAGGTGCCATATAACCACATTTGTGTCTCCATACCAACTTGGCCCTATATATCTGGAGGAATGAAGAAGAAAGAGGGACTGTGATGAAAACATACAAAATACTGCAGGGCATAGATTGGTACATTAACCTGTAAACGGTCCAAACATATATATACATTTTTTCAACATTTGAAAGTATGTAAAAAAAGTAGATCTTCTTTTTCTCTTTTTACATTTGAAAATGTGTAAAAAAACTTTGATCTACGTTTTTTTTTTTTTGTTATATTTGAAAATATGTAAAAAAAAACATAGATCTACTTTTGGAGCACTACGCATGTGAACGTAGATCTGTTTGGACCGTTTACGTTTTTTTTTATTTATTTATTTATTAACAATTTGAGCACACATACAGAGGTACAAGGAAAGGCTTTCTATCAGAAATGCACAAATCACAAATTAGAAACTAGAATGAGCTAAGCAATAACACTGGAAAAATGGACTCCATATTCTGGTTCCAAAATATACATGACAATACATGAATAAACAGAAAAATGAATGGGAAGTTCAAGCCTTCTGTCCATCTTTCTGTTCATTCATTTCCAGTCGTTTATTATGACTTAAACTGAGTTCATGACAACACACATTCACGTCAGTCAAAAGTTAAGAGGCAGAAACAAAACCTTAACATATTTGTTTCTCTCCCAAAACTTGTATTGATACAGGATGTAATGCAAATAGGTATGCACAGTTAGTAGTACTCTTGTATCAATAGAGTACATGACACATACCTTTAATGAAGATCTGGTGATGATTGATGGGATGGGAGGAGGGGAGTGTCGAAGTTGTTAATGTTTAGAAGGGGAATCCCCTTCTATTAGGACTTGAGGTAGCAAGTCTTTTTCCGGGGTTACTTCCCTTCTTCTTTTAATGCCACTAGGACCAGCTTGAGAGTCACTGGACCTCTGTCGCACAACAAATCTGTCCATAGAGGTCTGTACCTCCCGTTCCTTTAAGATTTGTCTAAAATGGGCCACAACATTGTCATTGTAATAGCCACCAGCACAGCTTGCAATAGCTGTGCTAGGGCAATTTTCATTCATAAAAGTTTGCAGTTCAACCCACTTTGCACACATTTCCTTAATGTTTGAAGTAGGCACAGTGGATTCCACAACTGGCATAGGCTTCTCAGGGTTAGCCCCAAACCCTTCAAAATCTTTCTTAATTTCCATACTAATTCTCACCCTTTTTACCACAGGGTTGGCACTAGAAGCTTTCTTGGGGCCCATGGTGACTTATTTTGCAGAAACAAGCACCAAAAACACTGTGATAATATGGAATGTACCAAATGTATGCTTAGTTGCGAGCACACTGGCTGGCTTGTAAACACTGGCACACACGGGGCAGTTCAGGCCACACATGGATGCGTCTCGAACGAATCACGTGTGGCGGGTTTTTTAACGAGTGGCGAGGCAAAATTTTTGCGTTAAAATGTATCGTATACCGGATTTAACGTATACCGATGCCATCGTATGCCGGGGGTCCACTGTAATTTAATGTGGAAAAGGGCCACAAAATGGAAATAGGTGAAAGCAGAAACTGGCAGAGTCTGAAAGTGATAATAAACAAGAGATTGCCATGAATTGGAAACAATTTTTTTATGCTGTATTGACAAATTTTAAAATAGTTTTCAGGTACAGAACAACATTTCAATGCTAAAATGAAAAAAAAAAAAGTTATATTTATGATATACCGGTACTTTAGAAAAGTTGGGATTGTGTGACGGTGGTGTGGGGTCTGCATAGAAAAAAACTTGATACAAAAGAAAACTTTTAAGAGATATGCTGCACAATGGCTCCTGGATTTGAAAAACATGAGTTATGAAGAAAGACTGAAAACAGTGAAAATGCTCTATGTAGAATACACTATTCAAAACACTTGCACATATTTATTAGTAAATGTGTTAGTCTTTGAACCTCAAAGTGATGAAGGTCCCAGGAATGAAAACAAGTTTTCTAGTCAATACTGTATATCCAAGTGTTTGCTCAAGTGTTTCTTTAATCCTTTCAGGGTCCATGCCGTAGTCTATGGCTTTGAGTTGAGGGTCCAAACCGTAGTTCTACGTCATGAGCTCAGTTCACTCTGATAAGCTGTGAGCTGTAAATTTGGGCCTAGATATGAGAGAATACATCTGTGTGGTATGTGTGCACCACATAAAAAAAATCCTGCAGCACACAGTGCATGAGAGAAAAAAACTGAGACCGTAATTTTCGATTACAACAGCGACTTTGCAGTGTTTTTTCGTATGTTTTTTATAGTTGTATATGCAATTTCTTGGTCTCAATTGATAGAATGGAAGATATATCATAGAAATAGAGATGATTTTGATTGGTTTTAGTATTGAAAATGGCTTGAAACTGAGCTCAAAGTAGCAGAAATGTTAAATTTTTGCCAATGTTCAAGAGTAAACAATTGACCTCACACGTCTAATACACACCAGCTGGTGGGTCTAATATATGTTCACAAATGTGATGATATTTATACAATTATTACAATATTGCATAACAGTAAATCTTCTATTTTTTGGTTTGAATAAAAATTCATTATGTGAATAAAAAATCAAAATGGAATTCATTTGTAAAGCCTGAAAATGGAACTAATGAACAGAGGAAATGTTAGTTTAGTGCCAGGAATGCCTGCATTGTGTATTCTGGACCCTATTTTGAAATTGGAATATTTTGAAGTGTTAAATTGGCCAAATTACCAATTTCCGATCACTTTATTTTGCATTTGAAACAGTTGACTTGGCGATTTCTTGTGCTCACTCAATAGAAAAAAGTAATACCAATGAAATAGCTAAGAATTTGGTCTACTGGAATAATGTAATTGGCCTAAAATGAGAGAGTCGGCAATATCGCCGATGCGTAAATATCGCTCACACATCGAAATTCGCGAGAGCATAATTTCGTCAGTTTTCCATCAAATTTCGTACTTTTTGTTTTATTACCTTCAGAAAAAGATTCTCTACAATTTCATTAGAAAAAATAATTTTTTTTTTTTTTTTTTTGAAAATTCTTGGACCCTGGTGCACACTTTGAAATTTGGCCTCTGGACCCTGAAAGGGTTAAGCCACTTGTCAATCAGGGGTGTATATTCTGGGTGTGCTAGGTGAGTGCTGCACACCCACCAAAGATGGTAGATTCATCATAAATATTAAGCTCACTCAGTGATATAATTATGTATCATAATGGGAAACTGTTTTTTCTGTCTCCTATTATAAAATATTGTGGCAGTTGTTCTGAGATAGCTCTGCACACCCCACTGTGCTACTCAGTGGTAGCACAGTGCACACCCTGTGACAATAACCACCATACACCACTGTTGTCAAAACCTATTATTCTACAAGTTTATATATCTTTTAGAATGTTATTCAGGGTTAATGGCTTCATTCACAGCAGGAGAGATATCAAAGCTAGAAAAGAAAGAAATAGTTTACTGCTGCATAAAGCCAGTAAAGTTTTATGCCTCAGAGTACTTGGAGTGTATTCTCTGGAGCAATAAAAAAAAGAGAGAGAATTGATAATGTATGTTGTACATGGAACATACTTGAGGGCCTAGTTATAAATCTTCACACTACTCCAGGTATACCATAACAAAGTACAGTACTAGATTGAGAAATATGGGATGAAATGTGACAGACCCAGTGAAAAGCAGGGGCATTATGGGCATAGTAAGAGAACACTTTGTCAACATCTGTTGTCCAAAACTATTCACCTTGATACCAGCAATTATCAGAAATATAGTATTACTAGAACAAGCATGAAAGTTCTTAAGAAACTGGATCCCTACCTCAGCCAAGTGCCAAATCAGTGAGGGTGTCATGAATATGTAGGCCAACAGCAGCAAGAGCCTGGTTGAACAGACAATCACCAGAAAAGTTGGCCCCAGGCTAGGCTGCAAAGGTAGAAAAACTCTCAAAACCAGTCACAAACAAGATAAAGCCATCAATAAAATTATGAAGGTATATGAAAAAATTGATGGACATTTCATCACCATGAATTGGGTAAATATGATACCACAGGTGTAAACTGAGGAAAGAGTGATGCTGAAAAGACACACACAAGTATTTCTTTTTCAGAAATATTGTTGCAGTCTTTTGGAATCAGATAAAAGAGGAGGCAATCAGTGCTACAACCATTGAAATATTTAAGAAAGTAGATGTGTTTTGGTTGCTGTGTAACTGCAAGTTTAGCTCTATTACTATTTTACCTTATTTGTTATTTCTCACCAAGGTAGAATGACCCAAAAAAGGAAACATTCACCATTACCTACAAGTAAGGGCCATAATTTTACAGATAAAGACACACACTACTAAAAGATAATATCACTGGTATGTTGTGCATTGCATTAGTAAATTGTTTATAATATTTTTTAAATTCATTTTTTTTTTTTCAGGTACAGGAAACACCAACACAGACGGAACTTACAAACCATCATTCCTCACAGATCAGGAACTGAAACACTTAATATTAGAGGCAGCTGATGGATTCCTTTTTGTGGTATCATGTGACACTGGGAGAATTATCTATGCATCAGATTCTGTTACTCCGGTTCTTAATCAGCCGCAGGTAAGTGGTTTTGGTGAGACTTTATTCTCCATCTTCTGAAAACTTTTATTTATGGTGTACCATACATTACATGATAATGCCACTCAAAGCAATCTAACCCTGGCCATCAAAATTTTGTTCTCATCAAGTTGTAAAATGAGTCATGAGTTAATAAAGATGATTATTGTTATTTTTGTCATTTTCTTGTACTGCTTAACCCTTAAACTATCCAAACGTAGAGCTATGTTCACGTGCGTAGCGCTCCGATCGTAGATCTACATTTTATTTTACATGCTTTCAACCTTGGCACAATAAGCCTGAGTTGCCCAGACATGAGAAAATGAGTGCGGACTCAGTGTGCGCAGTTTGACAAAATTCGGGGATGCTGGGAAAAATGTGCTCTTCATTTAACCCTTTCAGGGTCCAAGGCCCAAATCTGAAGTGGTGCCCCAGTGTCCAAGAATTTTCAAAAAAAAAATTTGTTATTTTTTCTTATGAAATGGTAGAGAATCTTTTTGTGAGGGTAATAAAACAAAAAGTACGTAATTTGATGGAAAATTGACGAAATTATGCTCTCGCGAATTTTGATGTGTCAGCGATATTTACGAATCGGCGATTTTGCCGACTTTGACTCCCATTTTAGGCCAATTACATTATTCCAGTCAACCAAATTCTTAGCTATTTCACTAGTATTACTTCTATTCTATCGATTGAGCACAAGAAATCGCCAAGTCAACTGTTTCAACTACAAATTAAAGTGATCTGAAATTGTTAATTTGGTCAATTTAACACAAAGTTCAAAATACGTATTCCAATTTCAAAATAGGGTCCAGAATAAACAATGTAGGTATTCCTGGAACTAAACTAACATTTCCTCTGTTCATTAGTTACGTTTTGAGGCTTTACAAATAAATTCCATTTTGATTTTTTATTCACACCAAAAAATAGAAGATTTACTGTTTATGTTATGTAATGTTATGTAATAATTGTATAACTATCATCACCATATTTGTGAATGCATATTAGACCCACCAGCTGGCGTGTATTAGACGTGTGAGGTCGTTTGTTTACTCTTGAATATCGGCAAAAATTTAACATTTCTGCTACTTTGAGCTCAGTTTCAAGCCATTTCCAATGCTAAAACCAATCAAAATCATCTCTATTTCTGTAATATGTCTTCCATTCTATCAAATGAGACCAAGAAATCGCAAATAGAACTATAAAAAACATACGAAAAAACACTGCAAAGTCGCTGTTTTAATAAAAAAATCATGATTTCAGTTTTTTCTCTTATTATACACAGCGTGCTGCAGGATCTGTTTTATGTGGTGCACACATACCACATAGATGTATTCTGTCATATCTAGGCCCAAATGTACCACTCACAGTTTATCAGAGTGAGCTGAGCTCATGACTTAGATCTACGGTTTGGACCCTGAACGTAAAGCCGTAGATCTACGGGACGGACCCTCAAAGGGTTAAAAAAAAAAAAAATTGTTTTTTTTCCCTAAAATATTCAGAGCGGTACGCACGTGAACGTTGATCTACGTTTGGACAGTTTAAGGGTTAAGAACTCAAAAGAGAAAATTTATTTTTGGAACCAAATTTTTGCTTGTCAGGGGGCCTTTATTTCTGATATGGCAGGAATGAATAAGAGGAATTACAGTGGAACCTCGGTTTTCGTATGCCCTGGTTTTTGTAGGATTTGGTTTTTGACTACTTTTTTGTCTAAATTTTGTCCCAGTTTTCGTATATCTGCTTGGTTTTCGTAGAGTTGACAATGGTCTGTACCAAACGCGTCCACCTGCCAGCACCCACACAAAGCATCCCACGCGTTCTGACTCAGTCTGGCGTTGTTTCTTGTTGATTGAACATTACTCTGCGCGTTTGGATAACATTTCATAATAATCCATTGTTTTTTGTACTTGTTTATTGAATGCAACTGCCAAATAAGTCACCATAGGGCCAAAGAAAGTTCCAAGTGCCAACCATTTAATAAAGAAGGTGAGAAACACAATAGAATTCAAGAAAGAACTCGTAATAAAGTACGAAAGTGGCGTACGCGTGGCCGATCTCGCCAGGATGTACAGGAAGTTCGCATCAACAATCAGTTCTATCCTGGTGAAGAAAAAAGAAATCAAGGAAGCTGATGTTGTGAAAGGGGTAAATGTATTAACGAAACAGAGATCGCAAGCAGTCAAAGATGTTGAGAAGTTGTTGTTGGTGTGGATCATTGAAAAACAGTTAGCAGGAGATAGTGTTTTGGTGGAAGAGTTGGTGGACAACCACAGGGAAGAGCTAACCACTGAAGAGCTGCAAGACCTTCAACTGGAACAGCAACAGACCGCAGCTGAAGAAATTGCTTCAGAAGAGGAGGAAGAGAGAGGGGAGAATGTGCCTTCTTCGGTGATTAAGGACATACGTGCAAAATGGAATGAGTTGCAAAGTTTCGTGAAGAAATATCACCCAGATAAAGCTGCTGCAAGCTGTATCTACAACATGTTCAATGACAGTGCCTTGTCCCATTTTAGGCAAATCTTAGAGATACCAGAAACAAACCTCTCTGCACAATTTTTTTTGTGACAGGGGTCCAGTGACTCTCAGGCTGGTCCTAGTGCCAGTAAAAGACAAATAAGGGAAGTAACCCCAGATAGGGCCTTGATACCTGATGTCCTTATGGAACGGGATTCCCCTTCCAAACAATAACCTCTCCTCCTTCCTCTCCCCTTTTTGCCATCTTCCATACGCCAACAGGAGGTTTCAGTAATGGTAAAAGTGATGTTAAATGCTCATTTATCCATTTCATTAGTCATTTATATTTATTTCTCATTGTTTTCTGTATGTAAAAGTATAGTTATTCTCAATAAAATGCATTTTTTGTTTATATTTTTGGGTGTTTGGAACGGATTAATTGGATTTACATTATTTCTTGTAGGAAATGTTGCTTCAGTTTTCATACAATTTGGTTTTCGTTAGACTTCTGGAACGAATTAATCACGAAAACCGAGGTTCCACTGTACTATATCATTATTAACCCCTTGACTGTCGCAACCCCGAATCCTGAGGTGTCTCCTGGTGTCGCAAAAAAAAATATCCCCCCCCCCCCCAAAAAAAAAAAAAGAAAAAAAAAAAAAACTTATGAAATCATTTCCCCGATTGTAATGACACCAAAAGAATGAAATTTGATGGAAAACTGATGGAATTACGCTCTTGCGAAGTTAGTGACCTCGGCAATATTTAAGAATCGGAGATTTCGCCCACTTTGAGCCCTATTTTCGGCTAATTCCATTGTTCCAGTCAACCAAACTCATAGTTATTTCTTTAGAACTCCATTTTTTCTATCGATTGAGTACAAGAAACTGCCCATTTTCCGATTTCAACTATCCAATAACGTGGTCAGAAATTTGCAATTTGGCCAATTTCCTGAAAATTAAAAAATATGACAATTTCAAAATAGGGTCTAGAATGAACAATGCAGACATTCCTGGCTCTAAAATAACATTTTCTTTGTTCATCAGTCACATCTCCAGGCCCCTCTGATATTACTCTTGCTTTTTATTTTTAATTTTTATTCAAACAAAAAATAAGATTTACTGTTATGCAGACTACTGCAATATTGCAATAATTGTATAAATAATGTCAACCCATTCATGACTGCATATTAGAATGGCTACTTGTACATTTATTGGAAAATGACATCATTTGTTTACTTTTGAACATCAACAAAAATCAAACATTTCCCCTATTTTGAGCTCCATTTCAAGGTTCTTTTCATAGTAAAACCAATCAAAATCACCTCTATTTCTATAATATGTTTTCCACTCTATCAAATGAGACCAAGAAAATGAGAATACAACCATAAATACTATACGAAAATAGACCACAAAGTCGGCATTTTGATTAAAAAAACCAGTCGGAGTTTTTTTTCTCATGCACTACGTGCTGCAGGATTTTTTTATATGGTGCATACTGACCACACAGACCCACTCTCTCACATGTGGGCCTGCCAGTTTTCTCCTGCTTGATTTGAAGCCGCTAGAATTTATGAATATATATACGTCAAAAACGGTGGCTTGTAAGACGTATATATATGACCAAAACAGTCAAAGGGTTAAATATATTCTGTAATATAGTATCATATCATGTGTAATAATCTCAGTTGAAATAGAAAACCCAGACATTTTTCTGGTAGTCACTTTTCTGTATGCATTTGATGTACAGTGGTCCCTCGTTTTTCGTAATTAATCCGTTCCTGGAAGTGTGACTATTATCGAAATTGACGATTTTCGAATCCATTTTCCCCATAAGAAATAATGTAAATCCAATTACGTAATTCGTTCCAGACACCCAGACGTATCAACAACAGTTTTTTTTTACCTTAAAGATAGATTTACCTGCACAAAAGAATGAACATTCAACATGACAGTTACCTTTATTGAAGGCTGTTGTTGATGAATGGAAGACAGGGAGGAGGAGGAGTCAGAAGAGAGGTTATTGTTTGGAAGGGAAATCCCCCTCCATAAGGACTCTAGGTCACTTCAGGGGTCACTTCCCTAGTTTAAATATAGATTTACATGCAGAAAAGAATACCAAATAAATGTAAAGCACTAATAAAATGTAAATGAACATTGGTAATAAGGGTAGTTGATGAGTGGAATAGTCTGCCTAGTAGGGTGATCGAAGCTAAAACATTGGGTAATTTCAAATTTAGGTTGGATAAATACATGAGTGAGAGGGGTTGGATTTGAGTTGGATTTGCACCTGAGCTTATTGCTTGGGTAGCATTTGTTCTTTTAGTGGGTTGGATTTGTGAAGGACCTGCCTAGTATGGGTCACCAGGCCTGTTGCACTGTTCCTCCTTTCTTATGTTCTTATGTTCTTATTTAACATCACACTTACCTTTATTGAAGACTTCGGTTGTGTGAGGGAGGGATGGCGAGTTTATTGTTGGAGAATATGAATATGAAAGTTGAAAATGAACATAGAAAAGAGTAAGGTGATGAGGGTATCAAATGATTTAGATAAAGAAAAAATTGGATATTAAATTGGGGAAGAGGAGTATGGAAGAAGTGAATGTTTTCAGATACTTGGGAGTTGACGTGTCAGTGGATGGATTTATGAAGGATGAGGTTAATCATAGAATTGATGAGGGGAAAAAAGGTGAGTGGTGCGTTGAGGTATATGTGGAGACAAAAAACGTTACCTATGGAGGCAAAGAAGGGAATGTATGAAAGTATAGTAGTACCAACACTCTTATATGGGTGTGAAGCTTGGGTTGTGAATGCAGCAGCGAGGAGGTGGTTGGAGGCAGTGGAGATGTCCTGTCTAAGGGCAATGTGTGGTGAAAATATTATGCAGAAAATTCGGAGTGTGGAAATTAGGAGAAGGTGTGGAGTTAATAAAAGTATTAGTCAGAGGGCTGAAGAAGGGTTGTTGAGGTGGTTTGGTCATTTAGAGAGAATGGCTCAAAGTAGAATGACATGGAGAGCGTATAAATCTGTAGGCGAAGGAAGGCGGGGTAGGGATTGTCCTCGAAAAGGTTGGAAGGAAGGGGTAAGGGAGGTTTTGTGGGCAAGGGGCTTGGACATCCAGCAGGCGTGCATGAGCGTGTTCGATAGGAGTGAATGGAGACGAATGGTATTTGGACCTGTTGGAGTGTGAGCAGGGTAATATTTAGTGAAGGGATTCAGGGAAACCGGTTTTTTTGTATAGCCGGACTTGAGTCCTGGAAATGGGAAGTACAATGCCTGCACTCTAAAGGAGGGGTTCGGGATATTAGCAGTTTGGAGGGATATGTTGTGTATCTTTATACGTATATGCTTCTAAACTGTTGTGTTCTGAGCACCTCTGCAAAAACAGTGATTATGTGTGAGTGAGGTGAAAGTGTTGAATGATGATGAAAGTATTTTCTTTTTGGGGATTTTCTTTCTTTTTGGGTCACCCTGCCTCGGTGGGAGACGGCCGACTTGTTAAAAAAAAAAAAAGTTAATAGTCATTATGGATTGCGAAAAAATTATGTCAAAGACATTTATTTTTTCGAAGGTCATTTCAAGGATGTATGGTTACCCCTGTTGTTATGTTATTTATTTATATAATTTATATTTTCAGAGTATTATCTTCAATTTCAGAGTGATTGGTTTGGCTCAAGTGTCTATGAACATGTTCATCCAGAAGACGTAGAGAAGGTTAGAGAACAGCTAAGTACACAGGAACCAGCCAACCAAGGACGTATATTAGATCTCAAAACTGGCACTGTAAAGAAGGAGGGCCACCAGTGTAAGTATATAGTAATTAATAAATTATTTAGGGATTAAAGTGCACTTGTCATTTGTGTTATACATTCATTAAAATTTTGTGGTGTGTGCTTGAGAGTTATACAGTAAGCAAGGTTGTAATTACTGGAGAGAAGCATCAAGTTGCTACTGCACCATGATTGGATGAATGAAACAAAAATGAGAAAATGGTGATTAACATTATGGAGTATAGCACTACTAAGATTAGATTGAAGGAATATGTAAAATTCGGTTAAGCCAAATATTTTTAATAGGTGGAATTATCAACATTCTATATGACACTACAGTTATCTGGAATTTCAAACCAGGGATGTGTTCAAGGAAAAAAATGACTTTCAGGTAGTCCAGAAAGCCCCCTTCCACTCTCCCTGAATCCTAAGCTGCTCTTCTAAAGTGTTTGAAGCGGAATTAACTAGACGTATTTCAGTCTCTGCGTAATCCCAGGAGTGTATCCCTGTATTACTTAACCCCAGCCCCCTGTGCCTCAGTGCATACAATACCATTAATACAGTGTGTGTGACATTTTTAATGCAGTTAAATATTTTCTTCGAAATTTTGAAGTGAATTAGAAGAAGCATTTACAAGTTATCACACTGATACAAATATTCCAATTTCTTCAGTAAAAATAGAAAATTAGAACATCAACAACTCAAAATTAATTCAAACTTTCCACAAAGAAGCACCAGCTTGAATGACAAATGGGAATAAAAATTCATGCTATTTTACACACAAAATTGACAAATGTGCACCTCTTTTTTTTTTTTTTTTTTTTTTTTTTTTTTTTTTTTTTTTAGTTTGTGACCAGGCAGCAGGGGACTTTGGAATTAGCAAAGTCATTCCAAGAAGCTGGGAATAAATTCTACAGCTTTGGTCATAGGGCAAATGCACATTCCAATTGTTCCAGGAATGTTGCCCTGCTTACCATACACCTGTATTTAAAATTTGAAGTCAGTCGAATGAGGCCTTGTGTGATGAGCAAAATTAACCTATTAGCTGTGTCCAGCATGCAAGTATGCAGGTGATGACATTGTGACATTGTGTTCAGTGTACTAAAATATAAACATTTTTAGGCCTCTAATATGCCAAGAGCTGTTATTTTAGGTGACAGCTGTGTTGTTTGGGTTCTAGCTGCCTTGTGCCTCTCAGAGAAAACAATCTAGGCCACATGGATGTGTGCAGGATCTTGTGGGTAATGTCACCCAGTAAACTTATGGCACCGAGTTAATTATGGCTGGCCGAAACACCAGTTTTTCTCAATGTGAAATCTGGTAAATACTGTTCAGTCCAGGGACAAGTGACATTGAGGGTGATAATGGAGAATCATTTTCCAGTTTTGAATGGAACGTCAATGGTGGTACGACAAGGAATGAAAGAAGTGCCAGTTCAACACAAGATGTAGCTGTGCTATCTACTTCTAGTCTTGCCACATAACAAAGTATCTATCATTGGCTCTTTACTCATGAATTGGATAGTGATTGGAGTGATGTGGGGGATAACAGTAGGTTCGTAGACTACAACCACCCAGGAAAGTAATACTGTGGGATAGTAGGTTGTGGTAGTAGGTTGGTAGACAGCAACCACCCAAGGGAATACTACTGTCCTGCCAAGTGAGTGTGAAACGAAAACCTGTAATTGTTTTACATGATGGTAGGATTACTGGTGTCTCTTGTCTGTCTCATGCAAGATTACAGGTATGTCTTGCTACTTCTAGTTACACTTAGGTCACACTACACATACATGTACATGTTTATTTATACACACTCATCTGAGTTTTCTTTGATTTTATCTTAATAGTTCTTGGTCTTATTACTTTTCCTTTTATATCCATGGGGAAGTGGAATAAGAATCTTTCCTCCGGAAGCCATGCGTATTGTAAAAGTCAACAAAAATGCCAGGAACAATGGGCTAGTAATCCCTTTTCCTGTAATAATTACTAAAAGGAATAAGAAGAAGAAAATTGTCAAAGTGGGAAGTCTGAATGTGCATGGATGTTGTGCAAATGATAAGAAAGAGATGATTGTGGATGTTATGAATGAGAAGAAGCTGGATGTCCTGGCTTTAAGTGAAACAAAGCTGAAGGGGGTGGGAGAGTTTCAGTGGAGAGGAGTGAATGGGATTAGGTCAGGGGTTTCAAATAGAGTTAGAGCTAAAGAAGGAGCAGCAATAATGTTGAAGGATAAGTTATGGCAGGAAAAGAGGGACTATAAATGTATTAATTCAAGGATTATGTGGAGTAAAATAAAGGTTGGATGTGAAAAGTGGGTTATAGTAAGCATATATGCACCTGGAGAAGAGAGAAGTGTAGAGAGAGAGAGATTTTGGGAAATGTTGAGTGAATGCGTGGGGAGTTTTGAACCAAGTGTGAGAGTAATGGTGGTTGGGGATTTCAGTGCTAAAGTGGGCAAAAATGTTGTGGAGGGAGTAGTAGGTAAATTTGGGGTGCCAGGGGTAAATGAAAATGGGAAGCCTTTAATTGAGCTATGTGTAGAAAGAGGTTTGGTAATAAGTAATACATATTTTATGAAGAAGAGGGTAAATAAATATACAAGGTATGATGTAGCACATAATGAAAGTAGTTTGTTAGATTATGTATTGGTGGATAAAAGGTTGATGGGTAGGCTCCAGGATGTACATGTTTATAGAGGAGCAACTGATATATTGGATCAATATTTAGTTGTAGCTACAGTTAGAGTAAGAGGTAGATAGGAAAAGAGGAAAATGGCAACAACAAGCAAGAGGGAGGTGAAAGTGTATAAACTAAGGGAGGAGGAAGTTCGGGTGAGGTCAGTGGTCACCTGCGGTCATACCTGCCTAAGCTCTTGGGAGTTAGCGTGGGCTGTTACCAAGCACCATGGCTTGTTGTAGTGTTTTAGAATCTCAGGTTCAATTGTTGAAGAAGGAGATTCTACTTCTTCAGGAGGAAAATAGGAGGCTGAAGCTTCACATAGATGAGTTTGGGAGCGAATGTGAGAAGGATTTAGCTGGTAAGGAAGGAATGATCACCAGCAGTGATAGTGGCAGCCGCTTTAAGTGGCAAGTGGTTCACAGTTCAGGAAGAAGGAAGATAATGAGAGTTAATAGAGAAGATGTGAATGTAGGAAATTGATTCTCTGTTCTCCAAGACGAGTGTACTTCACTGGTTAGTGAGGTTGAAGGTACCACTGATTCATAAATAACAAAAAAAGGAACGATACCGTGACTGGAACGATACACAAATAACCCGCACATAAAAGAGAGAAGCTTACGACGACGTTTCGGTCCGACTTGGACCATTTACAAAGTCACACTGTGACTTTGTAAATGGTCCAAGTCGGACCGAAACGTCATCGTAAGCTTCTCTCTTTTATGTGCGGGTTATTTGTGTACCACTGATTCCCCTGCTAATCAAGGTAAGAATATTTTAATAGTAGGCGATTCTCAGGTAAGATATATGGACCGTGCATTTTGTAACAGAGACAGAAAGGTCAGACAGAGAGTGTGTCTTCCTGGAGCTGGTGTTGGTGACAGTCAGCAGGTTGGATAATATTATGGCAGGTAATGGGAAGAAGCCCATTATCTGTCTTAATGCTGGGGGTAATGACATTGGGAAGGGCAGGAGAGAGGAGCTGCTGGATAAGTACAGGTCAGCCATAGAAGTAATTAGGTCTAAGGGAGGGATCCCAGTCATATGTAACATCTTGCCTAGCAAGGGAGTGGGCAATGAATGGATGTCTAGGGCAATTGGTATAAATTGCTGGCTAGACAGGTACTGCAAGGAACTTGCAATCCCATTCATTGATAACTGGGACCTATTCTTTGGCAAACATGATATGTATGCAAGGGATGGGGTTAATCTCTCTGGGGATGGAGTGGTTGCATTAGCCAATTCAATTGAGAGGGTAATTGATGACTTTTCTAGGAATTTAAACTGATAGATTATAGAGGTATGGGTGTTTGTGGGAAACAATCAGGCTGCAGCATTAGGGTTAAAAACAGCAGTTATTACTGGGATACCTCAGGGATATGTTTAAAAGACAATATTCAAAATAAAGTTGCTAGTAATGGCAGATCAATTGATCAACAAACAGAGAGAGATAGTAGAGGTTCAAGTCAGAGTAGATTGCGGTAACTAGTGACATGGTCCTCAGACAGATAGAGAAACTAAAACCTAACAAATTCCCAGGCCCTGATGAACTGTTTGCAAGGGTGTTAAAGGAATGTAAAGAGGAACTTAGCATACCTTTGGCTAATCTTTTTAACATATCACTACAAACTGGCATAGTGCCTGATAAGTTGGAATAGTTTTGAAAATGCAGTATTAGAATGTGGGGCAGAAGTTTGTGGTTATAGGAGGGTGGGTGCAGGAGAAAAGAGGAGTAATTGGTGGAATGAAGAAGTAAAGGGTGTGATAAAAGAGAAAAAGTTAGCTTATGAGAGGTTTTTACAAAGCAGAAGTGTTATAAGAAGAGTAGAGTATATGGAGGGGAAAGTACCTAGGGATTGGCAGAGAGCATGTATAGTCCCTTTATATAAAGGGAAGGGGGACAAAAGAGATTGTAAAAATTATAGAGGAATAAGTTTACTGAGTATACCAGGAAAAGTGTACGGTAGGGTTATAATTGAAAGAATTAGAGGTAAGACAGAATGTAGGATTGCGGATGAGCAAGGAGGTTTCAGAGTGGGTAGGGGATGTGTAGATCAAGTATTTACATTGAAGCATATGTGTGAACAGTATTTAGATAAAGGTATGGAAGTTCTTATTGCATTTATGGATTTAGAAAAGGCATATGATAGAGTGGATAGGGAGCAATGTGGCAGATATTGCAAGTATATGGAATTGGTGGTAAGTTACTAAATGCTGTAAAGAGTTTTTATGAGGATAGTGAGGCTCAGGTTAGGATGTGTAGAAGAGAGGGAGACTACTTCCCGGTAAAAGTAGGTCTTAGATAGGAATGTGTAATATCACCATGGTTGTTTAATATACAGTGGACCCCCGCATAACGA